TACATTCTACTCTCTTTTGTCCACCTTTCCTCTTTTCCATCTCTTACTTTGGGTTGACCTGTAACTTGAGACCTTCTCTGGCTGCCTGGACTACCCAGCAGTGCGCCATCCTCTTTTGGACCCAATTTATTTGATGGCTTAAACGCTTTTTTTTTTCCCAATCCCTTACTGTGTTCATTTCTTATCTATCCTATTGCTTTGTAACCTCCTTGGAAGGGAGGGATTGGAGAGGTACTGATAAATAACTGGATGCAGAAGATATTTTTTTTGTTGTTGGTCTTGGGATTGAACTCAAGGCTTTACTTATGCTAGACAAGCATGCTACCACGTGACCCTATCCCTCTAGTCTTTAAGAAAGGGTTTCACCATTACCTTTTCCCAGGCTGGCTTCAAATATACAATCTTCCCACCTCCACCAAGTAGCTAGGATGACAGGCATGTACCACACCTCAGCCAGCTACAAAATCTTGCCTGTTGTGTGGCTTACTCAGGCTCTCCAGAGTCTGAATGGAGACACACCAGCATGTTGTATCACCAGGTGTTCAAGTCTTTGAAGAAATGAAGAGTCTTTGGAAAAGGCAAAGGTTTTAGTGTTAGCTTGGATTTTTGAACTGTAATGGTGTTACTTTGTATGTGGCATGGTACGAGATGCTTAAATTCTCTGAGTTCCAGCTGCCTTATTTGGAAACCTGAGCACTTAGATGAAAATATGTGCAGAGTCTAGCATAGCGCTTGGTATATAAGTGATTACAGGCCTGCTGGGTAGGTCCAACTGCATGGCTATCAGCTTTCTGATGCTCCGCTTTTACTATGTCAATTGGACAGAACACGTTCCCACCAACAAAAAAGTTTAGAAAATAAAAGAAAAAGAACCAAGAGAAAAGAAAGAACAAAGAAAAAGTGAAGAGTGAAGAGGCACAATGGCGAGAGGCAGCCCAGCCAATACTAGCGTATCAACCTGCCTGATCTTCAGCAAGTGGCTGCTGAGGGCTCTGTCTTCTCATCAGCAGACTGAAGGGTGGGCATTGGAATCTAAGCTCCCCTCCAGCTCTGACATTCCAAGAGCATTAAAGAAAAAGGATGAATCACCCCCTTCAAAATACCAATATGGGCTGGGCCCTCCCCCTGCTTCCCCATCCAGCACAGCTAAGAGCTCTTAATACACAGCCAGCTTCCTCCTGCAGCTGCCACCACACTTCAAGCCCCTTTCCCAGGAGTCTCAGAGGCAAGACTGATAATGGACCTCTGGCTTCTCCATCTCAACAGGGAACCAGATCCCTGTTCCCAGACTCTGGGGGCCAGAGGGCCCTCCTTGGCAAGGGCTGGCTTCCTCCTATGGACATTTGACCTCAGTTTACTTGTATGTGGAGTGTGGCTCGTTGCTGAAAGGGTGGAAAGAAGTGGGGTAGTGGGGGGGGGAGAGAGAGTGCAGAAAGCAAGCTGATGAGTGAATTTTCCCAATCATGATGGAAGGATGGGTGGTTGCACTCTCCTCATCCAATCTCTTCCGGGTATGCACAAAGTGGTGCAAGTACCTCTAATAGTTATAAATGACCTTTCTGGGGGAGGCAACTTTCCTTCCCCAGCAGCTGCATACATTCATAGACATGGGCTGTCAAAGCCACAGAAGTCTCCTGGATCAGTTTTCCTCCTTGCAGGAGGTAGGCACGAGGTGACCGCAGAGGACAAGCCTCTTGGCCTCTTTGCCCAGACAGCACTCACTGCTCCTTTCCGCCTCGGATGCTCTATGAATAATAGCATTATCAACCTGAACTCATCATCATGGAGACATAAACCGGCTGGGCATCAGACAACAGGTCCCAGACCAGCAACTTCCTTCTCGGGGGCGGGGGGACGGGGGACCACCTAGATCCCGCGGGGTCTTCCCTTCTGCGTCGGGCGTGGCTTCGGCCCCTTTGCCCTGTGGGTCTTGTCAGTCAGCCCGGCGGGTCTGTGGCCGGTCCCGTCTGCAGCCCAGGTCCTCCCGGCTCACTTGTGGCTCCTTCTGCTCTGAAAGCCGAGAAGCTCGCCAGGCTGCGAGCGAGCGAGCGAGGGAGCGAGCGGGTTTTCCAAGTGGGCAGGGGTGGGGAGGAGGGGCCCGGGCGGGCGGGCGGGCCCGCGGGAGGGAGGGCGGGAGCGCGGAGGGGGCGTCGCGGAGGGGAAGACCTCGCATTGTAATCCAATGACATTGCCTGTCCCGTGGGGGTGGGGGCGCTGGCCCCGGCGCGCTCTCCCCGTTTTGGCTACCCGCCCAGCTGGGAATAACTCTCCGCGCATAATTCGCGTGTTTACCAGGCATGAAAATTCTTGCTTTCGGCTCTCCTGCTCCACCCCCCCCCCCCC